TATATATATATATATATATATATATATATATATATATATATATATATATATATATATATATATATATATATATATTGCGTTGAATTATATTACAATCACAAAATATCGTCACTGGAGAGAATATGCCAAGTAATAGTGTGCAACAATTACGGAATATATATATGTATCTCATGCATCTTCATATAACATATATATCTGCTATATATATATAACATATATCTGCTAGACCGTAATATAATTCAGCATTTCTATATATATATATTACGTTTTTTTCCAAGGATATAAGTGTGAAAATAAAAAGAAAGTCAAATTTCTTTTATATATTTCGAAGCAAATGTGAATTTCTAGAAACTGGTACGTTTAGCAACATTATGAAAACGATCAATATATATATATATATCCTTTAGAGAAGTGTCAGTTTCACTTCTATTGCATAGTAGTATCGAAAAGAGTGAAAAAAAGAGTGGACAGCTTCCATGTTGATTCAAACACCTTAATGGCAAATCGATTGATTTTGAAAATTTCGTAACCTGTTTAAATGTTAGTGCTTTTTCAACGAGCTTTGTATTTTGTCAGTTCTCCCTTCAGTTTTGTTATATCATCGATGGATGACTGTTCTACCGATGACACATTGCTTGCTTCCCTCTTTTCTTTCCACAAGCCATAGTAGAATTTCATTTTCATTCCAAAAGGGATGGGCTTCTAATCTCCTTATCTTTTATGTCCGTATGTTGATTATATATATGTTGAAATGATCACTGTACTCTGTGTTTCTTGAAAAGTTGACTCAGTATCGTGTAATGACCTAAAAGATCTGTTTGAGATGAGCTGAGGACCACAGATACCCAAATATGACAATGACTTCTTTCCCTGTTCTTGAGAATATGTGTGCGGTGCATTTCCGGGCATCTATGTGTCCGTCTGAAAAAAGACGGAAAGTCAAACGCATTCCGCCCTTCTTGTAATTGAACTTGAAAGTTTTGAGTCAATCATAAAATGGATGCATTAGTGTTTCCTGACCTGACTGATTTTCGGCAATACTTTCAGCATGTTGTATCACTCAAAATTATTATTTCCTGTATATGCATATAATGCTTAAAGCGACATTTATAAAATCATAAATATTACAAGCGCCGTTATTATTGACGCATTGCTGTCGCGTCACCCATTACAGAGCCAGAAAATCGCATTCTCATTATGTAAATATATTTTTGATTTTTCTTTAATCATTTTTTTCTTTTTGAAGATTTTATCGCTAAGTTGACTCATCGTTACCACCCAAATGCAAAATACATCTTCACCAACAATTTTCATCAGTTGTTTACCCCTCTGCTGACATTTTTTGACACCATTTCAAAATTTTCTTTCAATGTGAAAAGCGACCATTCGAATTCTCTCAACGACTGTAATCCAAAAAGAAGCTAAAATCCAGTTAAACTGATTCTTTCCTTGGGACCATCAACTCGAAGTGTCGCCTGTTTTAATGCTTCTTATCAGGATTATAAAAATGATTAAGAATGCTCCTCTTTAATACCTGCGAAACGTTCGACCCTCATACATCTCGTTTTTAAAATATTAATATATTCCAAAAATGAGATTTATGTATATTCTATTAATGCAAATGAGCTCACTCGCTTATCCAATGTGTATGAACGTAGAATTTAATCGCCATCCCTATAAAATACGTCGGATGTTTTGCTACCTCCTTTACCAACTCCACTCGCCATTTGTCAACTCACCGTGAGATCTTTGAAATTGCATTCCATGGCCACGGCCCGCGCTCACTGTTTTTCACCGTTTTACGTTGGGTGGTTGACTTTTTACTGTGTTCCGGTGCGCGTAATCGGATCAGGTTGGTGTTGTGATTATGGTGAGCTCTGTTATCATGTTAGTTTCTCTGTAAGACCAACTCCACTGTTCTATTTCTTAATGCTTTTCAACATCTGTGTGTCAAATTAGAGTAGCTTATGTATTTGAACTTTACAGTTGACTTTTTGTGTTGAAGTCAGAAAGGAGCAGCACGCAAAAAAACTACATAAATGGCGGATGATTATCAAATGCAGCAAATGAATGGCGATCAGATTGGTATTGGTCAGAAACCACTTTTAGAGCTTTATGTTAAGGTAAATAGACTCGAGCTTTATATTTATGTATTAATCAATCTGAGCTTTGCATTATAATTGTTAAACTTTGTTTTCTTAGACTGTTCGACTCTAATATGAGGTGTGTTCAGTTCCCTGCTACTGTAACTAAAGTTTTTTGGAATTTCGGTCGTTATAAATCAAAGCAGTAAAAAAATTAGATAGCTTTGGATTAGAAGCAAAAAAACTCCATCGACCCGTCTTATCTTAACAAAAGATTTCATGCTATTGTTTTGGTTTATCTGTTAGTTTACCTTACTTTAACAAATTAGTTGCGTTAATGTAAATAATTGTTAGGTTTTTGGGCATGCTGCGAAAGATCCTTTTCATTTACGATGAGTAGTGGCTTAAAGAAGAAATTGCTATGGAAAATATTCAACTCTCGATAAACCATATTTTTAGGCTTCGGGAATCGAAAATCGGCGCATTGGTGCATGCTTGTTTTGTCAAGAATTCTGGATGGAACTTTACGCTTTGTATGAGATTGGAGTTGTTCGAGTTGAAGTGAAGACAGTAAATATCAATTCTGAAGCATTCAAAAAGAGTTTTCTTGGGGCACAACCACCAATTATGGTAGAGAACAAGTTAGTGCTTTTTCCGTTCATTTTGGTACGCTACAATACCCATTCAATGGTCTCATAAGTACTGCTCGGTAAAGAATGGTAAAGTTCCAAGTCAAAAAAATACCTGGCATTTCAGTTGCTGAAAGCTCGAGATTCTACTGTTTACTCATCCGTTCTGTTTCAGGAATGCAACTTATACTGACAACCGTGAAATCGAAGGACGCATTTTTCATTTAGCAAAGGAGTTCAATGTGCCGCTGTTTGAGAAAGATCCAGTGGTAGAAAAACGAATTGAAAGTTTGTACAGAGTAAGCCTTTACTATATTAGTTTTCTAGATCTTTTCTTCAATTTCTTCAGCTGCTAAAAACGTAGTGTTAGAGTATCAAAGCAATGCTCGAGCCACCATTAGTAGTTGACTGGTTAATAAGCACAAATAAAAATGTATTTGCATTGTCTACAGTTGCATTACTGTTTGTGTAGGACCTACAGTTTTCCATCTTCTGTTGGTCGGGAAAGTATTCAAGGGAATTCCTTGAAGGAAAAAAAAATGTTATTGAAAAACGCAGTAACACATGAAATCATTTTATAGAATTTCAAAATCTTTTTGCGATCCAAAAGTGAGCACGACAGGGAACAGAAAGGATCATCACCAACACCAGTGGACTCACTTCCGCCACAACAAAAAGCATCATACAACAAACTTGTTGAACAGCTGGCAAATATTGACCAAGTGAAAAATTTTCCAAGTTTTAAAGCGACTGTATTGTTTGCAGAAGAATAAAAGGGTTATTCATTACTCATCATTTCTAAATCACTCTAACAATTATATAAGCAGTGAAGTTTTATTATTATCAGTTTTTAGCTTCTGAGTGAACGAAACTCACGATATCTTTTGGGACGAAGTATGACGGAATATGATTGCGAACTGATGCCGCGTCTCCATCATATTCGAATTGTTGGACAGCGTCTGCTTGGCTTTGACATTCCTCTTAATCTAACCTACCTCTGGAACTATGTATTGAATGCATATCGTACCGCTGCTTTCATCGAAAGTTGTCCAGCAGATCAAGATATTCTTCATCACTATAAGGTATGGTATATTTTTACACATGTTTTGGTTTTGGTTGGCAAATTTACTACTGTTTACTTAAAAACAAAGATTTAGTCACTTAATGGCTGAACGAGAAACAACTAGATGCTGATAAGACTAATAAGGCAAAAAAGGCTGTGGTATTCTTTTAAACAATTCGTCCGGATCTCGGGAAGTTGGTCAAGTGGGTAATTATGATGTCACATTTATACAGAATTAACAATAATGTTTTGCGTTTTTGAAATGATAAAACATCAGCTGGAGACACTTTTTTGAACTCATCTTTTTCAGGAGCAGCTTAGTTTGGTAACGAATCAGCGCGAATCATTGCAGGTTCCAACCAAAACTCACACAATTCCTGAAAACGTCTTGGAAGATATTCGTCGACTCAAGTTGGATGAAAACTGAGAATGACCATAATTGTGATTATTATTCATCAGATTCTTTTTCAAGAATTATTTATCTAATGTAATTTGTGTCACTATTCGTTTTAAAATTGTGAAATAATTGTTAAGTGACTGTTTTAACGATTTCACAATTTTGTGTCTAAAATCCTAAGGAATTTTCAAATTTCTGGAAAAATCTGCTTTAATCTATTTTTACCTCAGAAATCGATTACTGGCTTGGCCATTTCTTAGGATGCATTTTCGTATTTCTCTTATTCGAAACGGATTTATGTGAAATATTCTTTCGCTTCATTCATGGACATGTACTGTATGTACTTATTTCTTAAATGCTGCTCCATAAAACATATCGGTCTTTTCCGGAAATATCCACTTTGCCTAATGCACATTCGCATCCCATCGTTTTTCAACCCTTTTTATACTGCAGAATATTTGAGTTGTGTTTTGTTATGTCTGAAGATATTGTTTTTCAGAACGACCCATTTTAAATTGAAAAGATCTTCCTCCCGTTTCATTTTCTTTACAACGAATGCATCATTGCGCCGTGTTGTCTGATTTTGGGCTTTACTCTGGTTTATCTTTATCATGCTAAATAAAAAAGATATTGGATTACTTATTTTTAAAAGCTGTAGCAATTTAGGATGTCATAACAGCATTTGGAATTTCTCAAAAATTTAATAAAGTGGGAGGAAATGGTCAATAATTGAATGTATTTGAAGGACGTGCTTGTGTGCAGTTAGTGTTCATATAGAAGCTGTTGATCTAGGGCAGTTAACATAATTATTCATCAATAGGTAATCTTTGAGTTAATTATATTTGTAAATCTTGCTCCAGCGAAATGTATCTCTAAAAAACGACCTTTTTAGTATTTTTAGTTTTTATGCCACAATCGTTTGTTGCCAAGATAAGCTGCTTCAAGGAGGTATACTTCAACTATTGATACTACGAGGTGATTACCAGTTATTGTACATGTTTTTTATGACAGACAGTTTTTGGCTATCGATTTTCCTGCTATTCTTTGCAATATCCGTAGAGGGTACTTGATTCGTTATTTTTTTTATCAGGCATGTGTTGCACCATTATCACAGTAAAATGATTGATAATGCAAAACAACGCATTCTGCTAATCATTCAGTTGGGAAACTACGGCTTTAAGGTAAGATATAAATACTTGAAATGAATTATGGATTGATATTCCTTGATTCTTTCTCTGAACCATCTTATATTCCTGAGATGAACAACATAAAAAGGAACGGAAATGGTCGATAGGGAAATAATCATTATTCGCAATTGACCTAATAAATACGAGATACGTTTAAAATTGCTTGTATTTACCTGGAAATCTTTTTACAGCAATAAAGTTCATATAGTCTTACGAACTTAGTTCGATTATATGACTATCAAGAACTATCAAGACATGTCTTGCATCACAGCTTCACATGAATAATTTCATATATGTTCATCTCAAGTTAATATTACACTAGTACAAATATAATTCTCTATAAGATAATCATTTTCTACCGTTTCATATAGTTAATATCTGGTGTGAGTGGTGTCACATGAACATCATGAATATTTGAAAATAAATATCAAGCTGGTTGTACACCACAGCGTCACAAGAATTGGCTTTTCATTATTTTCTGTTGGATTTCCCTGATTTCAGGACCTTTTTTTATTTTTTCTTCTTCCACTGGACAAAGTTACAACTAAAAAAGTAATGTCTACGACATTTCATATATCTTTTCATTCTTTAATTTTTTGATATGACAAAGAAAACAACCTACTTCCCGATTCTTTATTTGTGATGAATGTTGTGGATAAAGTTATAGAAATCTCAAACCCGTAGAATTTCGAACCTCATTTCAAATGAAATATATATTATTTTTCTTGTGTTAAACCATTAATCTTCTGATATTACTTTACCAGCTTAACAAATTAATGTTCATTTGGGATGAGGTTCAAAATTCTATGGTTTGAGATTTTCGTAACTTCTATTTTATTCAAATTTATGTGATCATATTACTACATTTTTCAATAGCTTTTTATACGGTCTCAAGAAATATTTCCTGAATCGTTTTCCGAACAATGAGAACTGGACAATTGTGGCTCTGAATGGATTCGAGAAATAATGCAACAGTAAGCAATACACACACGTTCTTATCCATTTTATCAAGTGAAATAAATATGAACATTGACCAACCAATTGTTGATATCATGTCACGGATTTTTGAATAAGCTAATTCGATGAGTGACATTATTTTTTTAAAAGTTTGGAGGAACTGAAATCACTACTTATGTCACCATTATGTTTCATCGCTTAAGACTTTTTAAGCACTTTTTATATAAAAAATGAGTATTTTTGATTCGTTTTGCTTTTGGAAATTTCTATGACAGTAGTAGTTTGAAAAAATTTTGAAGAAGCTCATTGATATCCACAAAAGATATGTCATAATCGAAAATGGCCAGATTTTTTTTCTTTTTCCTTTGTTCTTTTGTCATTTTTTCAAAACGACTGATTTTAATGAGCTTCTCGAAGTGTTTTCTAAAGGCAAAAATTTTAATGCTTCCAAAATTAATTGAAAAATTTATCACATGGACGGAACTTCACACTGTACTTCAATTTGTCGCCCAATTCATACGTAAGAAAGTTCCTTAGTTGTTGATTGTGATGAAATGCTAATAACGTTCAGCTACCACTCAACTTCTTATCAGGTAATATTTACACAGCACCACTGCCGTACAAGCAGCGGGCGTATGCAAATACTTTCTGATAAGAAAATGATAATAAGTTTTCGAAGGGAGGTAAGAATCTTCGTGGGAAATATTCCAATAAAATGTTGTCCAAGGCACTGGCAGTCTCTTGAACATAAGGAACTCTTCAAAAGGCAAAAAACAAAATTTTTTAAACATCCTTTAAATGCTTCGCAATATTCTTAGTTTGACGATGGTTTATCAATCACCGAAAAAAAAAAAAAAGCATTTCTTCTATAATATGCAATAAAAATTAAACAGAATAATAGAAGCAAAGCAAAAACACAATCTAGTTAGGATGATCTGACTATGTTAGCATCCTACTTAGTTATAGTCACTATCGGGTATTATATAGGAGAGCCCTGTCTTTTGGCAAATAATCTTTTCTGTAGAAAGTTTGATATGCCATGTTTTAACTTTAGCTTCCGCGATATTTTTGATTTTAACTTAAGATATATTCCTGATCAAAAGTGAAATTAAAAAGCAAGCAACACAATGCTAATTAGCCGGGATGCAAAACTGTTTCCTGAAGGGAAGATATTAGTACATTAGAAAATATTAGTACAAAAAAATTAGTGCAATAGTAACAACCAATGAAGATTAACAATAAGCAAATCATTAATCTCTTTATGAAATGGATGCCAAAATATGCGGAATTTGTCGGTAGAAGGCTAAGTGCACTGTAGTAGCCTGATGGATACTCGATGTACTCTTCAATTTGCATATAGAATGATGCATTGCTATTTGTGGACAACCAATATCCACTGTTTGGATGTCCAAGCGAATAGAAAGTATGGGCCCGACCGTTGAACCACGTGATATGTCGTTCCTAAATACTATTTGCTACAGCGGTACACCCGCCACACTTGTCGCGAATTTCAATATCGCGAAATTCCAAATAAATAATAAAATAAATTTCTTATTCAAATTGTAAATGAATGTTAACAACATTACAAATCATTTAATCATTTTTTATTCCTTACATTTATTTTCTATTAATTTCCCATGTTCTTTCTGTTTTTATCTAAGCTCATATCTTCGTTTTCCTGTCATACAGGAAATGCCTTTGCTAGCAATTGCTTGCAATATCTATCTAAATGTACATTTTTCTCCAAATTCACATCTTAATCTTCTCATTAGATCTTGTTACGATGTTTAATGTAAACCATTCCCATCTTTTAACATATATAATCCTCAATTTTGAATAGGAGGGATAGACTGATTAG